GTTCTGTAAATATGGTTTGCCTATTTCTTGATTCAATTTTGAATGGATAAATGCCTCAATTGGCTTGGAGCAAATTTATCTATCTAGCATTGTAATGCTGGCTATATATTAAGTCCATTGACCAGAGAATGAGTAATTGAGGTGAGAGGTTTACAATATGCATCATGGAAGCTGTTTGAGTTTTCTAAATCAGTGGTATTCTCCATTAGTAGTTTAGATCAAATTATTTCTTGAAAAAGACAAAACGTCTTGTCTGATCCCTTTCAGTTTCATTTTTGGTAGTCTTTCTTATGCTGTTTTTCTGTTTTGGATTTCATAATAGTATTGGCTTTCCATCTTTGGTATAGCTGTTCGAAGCAATATCAAGATGCTAATTTTCTATGCTCCAAAAGCAACCCTTAATCATCTTTCAAATTTTTCTGTGCTCCAAAAGCAACCCTTAAATCATCTTTCAAATCATCTCCTGTTATCCCTTAGTTGATGCATGTGAAAGTGCAGGAGCATTCTTTCTGTGCCTCTTGATCCCAATTCCATGTGGCAAGGGGCATTTAAATGATGAGAATTGCTTTTTAAAGTAAAGTTGATGTACTTGAATTCTATTCAATTAGTCATTATTTTTCGACTTGCTTGAAAATTTAGCTGAGGTTAATCGTGGAAGTTGCTTTCCAGTCATATGCTACATGTGGTGTAATGATCTTTATATGGATGTTGCTTGTCCAAGCAAATACTCTCATGAAGAGTTATATGTTTTGGAGCTATTCTATCTTCCTTTGAAGTTTGAATACCTCTTACCAATGCAACTTTTTTTTTTTTATTCGTGTGGAACTTGTTTACCCATAATTAGTTTCTTAATTTTAACCTGCAGTTTCAGGCATTTGACTTTCTGAGAACTTTGAGAAACGAACCATTCTTGCAGCTTTTCCATTCTCTATATGTATATCCTTTAACTGTGAGCTTGAGTCAGAAAAGGAATCTATTCGTAAGAGTTGAGCTAAGAAAGGATGATGCAGATGTTCATAGACAACCTTTAGAGGTAAAATTGTTGAGTGATACTTTGCACTATGATTTTTAAACTCGTCTTATTGTTCTTTCTGTGCTACTGATATGACTAGGCAATGTATCCAAGGGAACCTGGTTTATCACTTCAGAAGTGAGCCCACACACAAGCCCACACACAAGTTGCTGTTGGTGCTCGGGTGGCCTGCTACCATGATGAAATTAAAGTTTCTCCCTGCTGTTTGGACACAATTGCATCACCTTCTATTCACTTTCTTCCATGTTGATCTTCAAATGAAACTAGAAGCTGTGAGTTCAATGAGATCCTTTTTTCTTTTCCTTCCATTTGAAATAATACAAAATCATCTGAACCTCGTCTTAGTGGTTGTATACTCGTTGGTTAGTGGTTTGGCCTGTTTTGCACTCCTCTCATTCTATCTTTTATTGCAATCCCAAGTAGTTCTGTTCTTTTACTTGCCAGGTAGTAATTGGATATGCAGCGCTTCCATTGTCCACCCATGCACACTATGCAACTGCCTTTATGTTTGTCATCTTTTGCTTTGTTTCTTTCCCTGATGATTTATTAACTTACATTATTTGTTCTGCTACTGGAGTGATTGGTATGGTAGTTCATGGTATTGAAAATAAACAGGGGGCAGAAATATAATCACCTATTC